GCACGTTGTGATCACCCTCACCCAACTCAAGGCCGCCTGCGCGTCCTTGCAGAGGTCTCTGCACAGACGGGGCTGGAGCCACGAACACCGTGGGCAGCACCTGATTCGGAATCGGGGTGTCTCGAGCCAACCCCCTGGCATGCACATATGCACGGTGCTAGGTGCTGACATGACAATCTCTTCCAGTGCGTTCAGTCTTGTTCAGGATGCAGTGTTCCTGAGTGTTCGGGGTCGGCGACTCTTCCCCTGGCCACTCCGGGTCGTGGGATTCTTCTTGGCATGCGGAGGCTCAGGATCTGAGAGCTGACCGGGGAACCCGACTGCGGACCTTAAACCAAGAAACATGAATCACTTGCAGGGGCCAATCGGAAAGCTGAGGTGAATGGGCCTCACCGTGGTATGCGATAGACGATAGATATTTTTGTGTTCTTCTTGGCCTTGTTGCTTCTGTCAGTGTTAACCCTGGCTGCGCTGGGCCATGCACAAACAGGAGCGTTGCAATCCTCAGCGGCGCATCCAAGGTCGAGAATTCAGGTTTCAGGTCTTTCTTGTGCGCAACAGCCCGTTCCAGTTGGAGTATGTCAACCTGCGAAGCAAGCAAGATGAGAGGTTGTGCAGTAGAACCATGAGAGCACGACCAAGCAGCAAGCCAAGTGCTAGGTGGAACGTAGTTGCTCCCTGCTAGATCTGAAATCCATAGAGCCATAGAGCTCTTGAGCGAAGCTCTTACAGCTTTGCTTTGCTGCTCGGATCGCTCGCTTCCGAAAGCAAAGCACAAGCTGAAATGCCACACTCCCTCGCTGAGGCCCCATCCAGGTGAGAAGAAAGTGCCGCAGGCCTGGCTTTGGCTTGGGGACTCTCAGCCTCTTCAATGGCTATATTATTGTATACTATACTAGGCTATATTATACTATACTATGCTACATTATACTATATTATACTATTCTTCTCTTGTATAGTATACTTTACTATACTATACTATATTACCGACGGAGGGGCCCAAAAGCCTTGACAAAGAGGAGTCGGAGAGACGGTGGGGTCTCTGCTCTTTCAGGGAGCTGACGGTCTGCACATCCCATTCCGAGGACTCGGTCGATACCTCCTCACATCCCACTTGGAGGTTCATGGGTAGTTATAAGTGGGGTTATAAGTAGGGTAACTATAATTATAACCCTAATCAGGGGACTTATAACCCTACTTATCTCCAAGCAAGTTCGGCTGGTTTAGCTAGTGTCACGATTGTGTGCCGCGAGCAAGATGAGCCCTCTGCGACAGCAGCTGGCAGCAACAGAGGCCCGTGTTCTGGCCAGTTTGTCCGAAGTGCACCACTAGGTAAGTAGGCATGACATGTGCCTTGGACCCTGAGAAGACTGAGCAGCTCCGACCTGGTCGCTTCATGTCGCGAAATCCCGTCATCTCCTGAGCACCCCAGTCACAACTTCGAGACATCAGATGCCCATGAGGAATAGTTGCGAAATAGCGACTGAAAGCAGGCGTTTCGTCTGTGTGACCTCCATTATCAAGATCGCTCCTTCTGAAAACTAGATAATTAATGGGACTCGCTTTACTTTGTCTGCAATGCTGATACCTTCGCCACTAGACTGTAGCATGGCTGCAGTTCAATCTGCTGAGGAAAGCTAGTGCGGTTGCTCCGATAATTGAAAATGATGATGCCGACGACGACAATGGTGCTAATGAAGACAAAGATGACGACGATCATAAGTAGGAGGAGAGAGGAAGATTCCTCTTGTGAGTGTACAGACATTGTAGTGAGGGAGGCCGGGTGGCGGCCCCATAGGCGAGAATCAGAAGGAATACTGCTTGCAATCGCTGAATGTAACCTCTTGATACTAGTTTCAACAGCGATTCCAAGAAAGGCTTGGCTAGAATGAGAGGCAACTCCGCCTCTCCCCAAATCTGGGGGTTTCCGAAAATAGGGAACCCTAATATAGTACCCTAAATAGTAGGGTCCTTACTATAAGGACCCCAAAATACGGTACCCCTTATTTTCTGAAACTCCCATCTCGCTTCAGCCCTGGAGCCCCTGCGAAGCACCCATTTCACTTCGATGCCGCGTCGCTTGGTGCGGCCTCCCGCGGCTGTAGCCCGACAGGGAGATCTGTTTGTCGCTTTGAGCCGCAGACACCAAGACAAGGTGGGGAGCGTTCAGCCACGTTACGTGTGTTGTTGGAATTCTTAATCTGCAAAACAGGAACCAAACATTTGTGAGTCTGCAGTGCTGGTTTCAGAAACGAAATTGAAATGGAAGGAGGCAGCAGCAGCAGCTGCTGCAGCTGATTGCTAGTGGTAGGATAGCAAAGCAGCAGCAGCGGCAGCAGCAGCAGCATCAGCAGCAGTGCCAGCAGCCGCAGCAGCAGCTGCAGCAGCCGCAGCAGGAGCAGCAGCGGCAGCGGCAGCGGCAGCGGCAGCAGCAACAGCTGCAGAACCAGTACTGGCATGAGTACAAGAAGCAGTATACAAACGACAGAAGCCGAAGGAGCAGCTAGGACCTTGACGACCGCTACTACGTCTACGGCTACGATTATGACTACAGCTGCGAGTACGACTGCCACTACTACTACTACTACTACTACTACTACTACTACTACGACTAGCGCAAGTAGGGAGCACTCGCTCACTAGCACTACGGCTGCCACTGCAACAACGACGACGACTAGTACTATACTACTACTGCTACTGCTACTGCTACTGCTACTGCTACTGCCATTGCTACTGCTACTGCTACTGCTACTGCTACTACTACTACTACTACTACTACTACGACTGCGAGGACGACTACTACTACTACTACTACTACTACTGCTGCTACTGCTACTGCTACTGCTACTGCTACTGAATTGCTTCTGCTATAGCTGTTGCTACTACTACCATCACTACCACCATGAGTGCACTTCCACTTACACTTACACTACTTCTACGGTTGGTGCTACTGTACCACTACCACTACTACAGCAGTCAATACCAGGGAAGTCAAGCGGCGCAAACAATGTGGGTAGACCCTCGGATTTCGGAAAGGGGCATCTAGTCGCCATCTGCTAGTCACTGCTAGTCTGTCTTTCTGCTCTTAGGGATAGTTGACCTATGCTTGGAGGAAGTAGGCAACTCCTTGGGCTGTTAGTGTGACTCGAGGTTTGTAGCGGCTGGCATCCGTGATTTTTCTGCGGCGTGCACCGTCTTGTTTCCGCCATCCCAAGCACAAGGGCATTTGGCTTTGATGTCGGGCTCATCTCGCTTCGCACGGGCCAACATCGACAAACACTGCTACAGCGAGTCAGTTCAGGCCTTCGTCTGGCATGGGGCTCTTGGCTAAGAGCTCAATGACTGGGGTCTTATATGGTCTTATGGTCCTAAGTGAAGGGAAATCCTTTGAGCTGATGTACACAGCGAAAGCTTTGCTTCTTTCAGGGTTTCGGGCTTCCGTCCCAAAAGGCGTGTCCCACAAAACTTGGAGGTGCTGTCGCCTGATTTCCTACAAGAAGCATCATGCTGCCGCGCGGTATGTGCTGCTAGAGGGCAACATTTTGGGAGGCTCTACGACCCTACGTGGGATCTTTCGTTACACCTCTCCTGAACCAAAGTTGTGTGGAGACAACGCTCTTGAAGTCGTCCGTGCTAGACGAGCCCACTGCAAGGCACGCACCATTCTAGCGCGCCCGGAGACCCGAGTTTCGTGTCAACCCCTCATGGCTACTTCTCTGAAAGCCTTGTGCTTCCTCCTATGAGCCACGGCTCAGTATGGACTGAAGCGGTCCTTGCACGTTCTACCAATGTCGCTCGGTGTCCGCTCCGCTATCTCACGCTTGAAATCCAGTACTTCCTAGCGCTCTGCCGTAACTTCGATACCACAAAGAAGTCAGAGGTGCTGCTCAAAGCTTCATTCACATCACATCCAAAATCCAAACTAAATGCACTCCTAGAATTCAGCACCAGACTGCTCGTCGGCATGGATAACAGATACAGGAACCGCATCAACTTTGCCATCGTTACCGGCATAGTTATCAACAGCCGCGTCATCATCATCGGGCATCGTCTGCATCAATGCCAACATATCTGAAGCCATCCCTATCCTCATCACGATCATCAGAGACATGCCGCATCATCGCAGACACTGTCGCCAGCCATCACTGTCGTCATCGGCCTCATTTCACCCTCACCTGCCTCAGCCGTTGCTGAGGCCTCTAACTGGTCTTCAAAGACTGTTTACACTCAAGCTTGGCATGATCGTGCTTCTGCGGCACGCATGCCCGCAAGAAGTCTTGTGACAAACAAGTTCAAACCCCAAGACATCGCCTGTTTTCAACTCCCTTGAAACTGAGCCTCAAGCCGTGCTCTTCTCTGGAGCCATGGCCCCTGGCAGGGAGGGCATGCCGGCCTCGGGGACGGCGGCCCCGACGGTCCTTGGAGTCGCGGGAGGTCTCGAGCTGATAAGTGGCACTTAAACCAGTCCGTCTAGCTTTATCAGTATGCCATATAGCATATCCTTTGGAATAGGTATCATACGTATAGCATATTTCTATGTGCGTGTATGCATAATTATAGATATATCTGTTTATATATATATATATATATATATACACATACCTACACGTACATACCACGCAAGACAGTGCGATACGATGTAACCAACACCTGTCTTTGGTCTTGTTGGTGAGCTTCATGCACGCTACGGCTTTGATGGGGTTTCGATAAGCTGACCGCGCCAGCGCTTCCTTCGGGGTTCATCATTTCGTCTGTGCGTCGGGTGCTATGACGAGAATTCGGGGCCTAGATGGTGGGGAAGGTTCAATGAGACTCTACTATAGTTACTATAGTCATGTACGTTACCAAGGAAGAAGATGGAGCCAGATGTTCCGTGGACAAGGCACAGATCTGCAGAGTCAGAACCAAGGCTCCTTCTTATTGCAGCGAGAACGACCGAGAACGACCTGTTCTCCTCAGTCCCCCTCGTTCTATTTTCTGCGTTTTGGTTCGGGGCTCTCTTACACGCTGGCATTCGGAGCCCTGATTAGTATAGAACAAGCTGCAGTTCTGTCCCAGGACTTGCAGCCCAGACACGCAGCGTTCTGCGCTGCTGCCGCATACCAGCTCAGCGTCGCAGCATACCTAGGCGCGTCTTTCAGGTTTATGCGGTCCAGCCTCTAGCAGTTCAGGGCTCTCTGATCACATGTTCGGGTTGGAGTTGGTGCTCTGCTGTCTCGGACACGGGTTCCTGGGTGTGAGACGATGCCGATCGGTCGCATTCGGTTTGGGTTCTCCGGGCCTTGGTGAGGGCCACCCCCGGACGACTCCTATCGGAATTGTGGCAGCAAACCTCCCTGTAGTAAGTAAGTAAGACCTTGCCAGGTTGCAGATTCCAGTCAATCTCCGGCGTTCCTGCAGGGAGCCCTGCAGGGAACCCCAAAGCACCTGCAGTCCAGACAGAAGAGTAGTTGAATAGGCGCCTTGGGCAGAATACTACCATATTTTAACACGGAGTATTGAGAGGAGCACTAGAGGGTCCTTTTCGTGCCTTTTTCGGCTGGGGCTCTGTGCCCACCTGCACAACCTCGCTCAGCCTTGCGGAACCCATGGCCTCGCGATCCACGAACAGCAGTCCGTCCCAAAGCTCACCAACTCAAACCCTGCAAGTTCTGCGAGCCCTACTTACTGTACATCCCCAACACGCCACGAATGCGAGCCCCGTGTCTCCGAAAAGAAAGATGCAGCATGCCATGCGCCATCGCACTAATTTGCCGTTCGAGTCCTCCAGCATAGCTTATTAAGAAGCGAACCCCGAAGCCCCTAGAAACCCTTAAGCCTTAAACTGTCCTTAGCCTTCATCTCCCCAAGCCTGAAGGTCCACGTGCACGAACCTTGATGCGACCCCAAACCCAAAAATATCCAAAGCCCCTTTTGCAGGTCCTGCAAACAAACCTTTTCGCAGGTTGTGCCGAATCCAGAGAAACATACGATCTGAAAGCTCACTTGTAGATTTCCAGGTTTACGTGGGGCTAGAGTCCTGGCATAAAGTCACACCTGCTTTTTAAAAAATCGTGCTGCACAGGTCCCGACCTGCCAACGCTTGATTTACCTGCATCTGCTGGGCTGGCATCGCTGATGGTGCTCCGCGGACTCCTCGCTCCTTCCGATTTGGGAGTTTCAGAAAATAGGGGGCCCTAATATAGTACCCTAAATAGTAGGACCATTATAATAAGGACCCCAAAATAAGGTACCCCTAATTTTCGGAAACTCCCATTTAGAGCTTCGCTCTGCAGGGCTGGAGCGCTTAGCGCCGTAGGCTTGAAGGGTTCAGGGCCGCAGGGGTGAAGACTCAGTGGTGAGGACTTCTAGTCGAGCGGTCACGGATTGCGAGAGGACATGAGGCGGAATTACATCAAGCTTCTGCTCTGGTGTGCCGTGATTTTCTGCTCAGGGCATCAGGAGATCGAGTCTCACAAGCCGTTGGGTTCTCCGTGTGCTTGGTGCAAAACGAAGACACTCAGAGGCCTAAGGGGATTCAGTCTTGGGAATGCCAAGGTTTATAACCTACTTGGGGGTTCATGGGTAGTTATAAGTGGGGCTATAAGTAGGGTAACTATAGTCATAACCCATATTGGGGGACTTATAACCCTACTTATAACTACCCATGAACCTCCAAGTAGGCACCCAGATTTCGGGGCATGGGACTTGAGGCATGGCACCTGAGCGGCCTCGCACGTATGTGGCAGGTTAAACCGAAGTAGGGAATCTTAAGATTTCCGCCTTTCGACAGCTGCAAGACGGAATATCGATCTATAGTAGGTTAGTGTACTGACCTTGAACCCAGCATTGAGCGGCAGCCCGAAAGACCAAAGCGGATGAGACCACAACCATCCACAGCCGCAAATTAACAAATCTCAGCACGCCCGCCCACCCCCCCCCGCCCGCGCGCCCACCCACCCCGCAGCGCCTCCTTTTTGCGTGGTCCTGAGAACGAGGGTGCACAGAGTCATGCTGTGCACTCTGGGCCCCATACAGCAGTGCCTTTCCTTGAGAACCTCATGAAGAAGCCTAAAGCCCTAACCTCACCCTTCCAACCCCATATGGAATTCCCAAAACCGGCCCGCCACTCCCCCTCTGTCCACCCCCCCACGCCCACAGCGCCTCGTTTGCATGGTCCTGAGATTGTGGACAAGAGAGCACTTGAGTAACTTCCCGAACTCCTAGCAAGACTCTCTTGCAAGTTCGATCTGGCTTTCACATTGTGAAAGCCTAAACCCTAAACCCTAAACCCCCGCTTTGTCAGGCACAGTCTCAGAAAATCAAAAAGACTAAAAATGACTTCCTTAAGGGCCGGCCAGACAATCCCACGAACCAATGCTTTCTTCGTTTGGTCCTGAACGTTTCATTTTCGTAAAGCTTGGAACATCTGGGATTTAGGGCTCCAGAAGTTGCCCTCTCGTCAAAACGCCCTCTTCATGCCTGCGTCGGGCGCGAGCTCGCCTTGGCTGCCTCATGTGCAGTCGATGGAAAGACCTGCCAAAGTGTACTTGGAGTCTCAGGGAATTGAAGTAACTATACCTCTGTAAGGGCTTAGGGCTGAGGGATACGAGTAGAACCAACGAGGTAACTTTATTCTACCTGTTGCATGTCAATGTGGTTACGGCTTACGGCCGTGAGCACGGTAACTGCACATGTAATTCCTATCTACAAACGAACCTTCAGCCGAGAGTCCGGGTTGAACACTGCTTTCGGAAATCATGGGCAAGTCAACATACTGTCCAGCAGGACTTTCAACACCGGTGTAAGTGCCTAGGAAGATACAGGATACCACTCAAGACAGTAATTATAAGCATAAGTAATCGCCTGAACTGCCGTGGATAGCACACGGCAGTTTCAGTCAGTAGGTTCTTGCTCTTAGCCAGGCGGCAGTGCTTTTGGAAGATCTCTCGCTTCGCTGCTTCCGATGCAGGTCCCAAAATGTCATGTGGGATGCGACTAACATTTGACTTGCTTCGGGGCTCCACGACCGGAGGATCTTTCAATACATGACTGCCAGGGCACAGCACTAATGTCGGGGCCTTATAATAATTAGAATAGGGTTTGGGGTGTATTATGCTGCAAATGTAATAAGGAGCCCCCTCAAATAGCATTGGTAATTGTTTAGGCCCCTATATCAGTCGATTCAACCCCAGCAATGACGAGCTCCGAAGTTCGGAAGGCCCGCAACGCTACGCAGTCTCAAGGAGGCGCTATCCTGTAACATTATCATCCTCAGAATGGTCAAGGTTGTCTGTGTACTGGTAAGAGTATGCACAGGAAAAAGGAGCAACAAAAGTCACATTACCAAAACAACACATTGCTCCTAAAGACAGGGCAGTGTGCCAGGAGGCCAGGAGCAACAGCATCGGACCGGGGTAAAACTCCAAGTGCTGTAGGACAAAGGACGATGAAAACGAAGTCGTATGCCCGGCCCGGCAATCGAGCTCTGCAAGATCGCGCGGCCTCAATGTAGCGGGTGCCGATCATCTGGCGATCCTGGGAGCATCCAAGTGTTCAGACACTGTCTGAGTTGCGGAGAGCACCGTGAAGTGAAGTCTATCTAGGGATCAATCGTGCTTATCAGAAAGCCAGCCAAACGTACACAAGGTGCTGATACTGTCGGTTGTTCGTCACAGTTGCTTTCTAGTTGCATCAACAACTAATCATTGTGTACACTACGGAGCTTTGGCTATTCTTTCTGCTTTACAAATTATCAATGCGATAAAGGCAGGATGGCTTCAAGAGCTAGTCGTGTGAAGCTTCCGGGTAGTCAAATCGCATTCCTGGTAATGCCAAAGCAGCATGCAGACAAAAACCCATCGACTGCACAGCATTCCGTTTTGATGGGTGGCCGGGGGGCAGGGGGTGCAAGCATCGGGACACCACCAGCAAGGGACTTACCCAATTCCTGAATCCCTGGTAAGTCCTTGCCAGCGCGGGCTTGGGCAGCGATTTCCTGCACCCAGCTTACCGGACATGAAGCTACAGGGTGGGTGTCCAGCATCCGCACTAAAAGCAGGATTCTGTTGCTGCTGCTCCTTTTGCTGCTGTTACTGGTTGACGGCGTGCTCGTTGCTAGTTGTCATTGCTATCATTACAGCAGGAGTGGCAGCAACGAGGAACACCAGTAAGGACTGCAACGAGAGGGTCAGGTGTCGTGACTGTGAACGTGCAGATAGTGCGAAAGCACGTGAACTAAAGTGGTAACAACTTCCGGTGTCAAGGTAGGCAATTGCTTGAGCTGCTCAGCTTTAGTGCATAGTCGCAGCGCATATACTGGCGATGTCAACAAGGTTCGGGCCCAGCATTGCAAAGACCCCACAGACTGGACGACTTCTGGACCCTGTGCAACGGCCGTTGTATGCCATAAAGCATGCAGGCCCCTCATCAAACATAGGGCTGACTCTAAACCAGACTGTTCCCCAGAACCCTAAACCCTAAACCCTAAACCCTAAACCCTAAACCCTGAACCCTAAACCCTAAACCCTAAACCCTAAACCCTAAACCCTAACCTCCATGGCCCAGGCCCCAGGGCTTCAAAGTAAGGGTGTGGCATCTTCTAAGGGCCGGTGCAGTGCTTAGCGAATCAGCCAACTGCACTTTTGGATCTGTTGCCCCCTGCAGTACCCGAAAAATGGGGGTTTCTGAAAATAGGGGACCCTAATATAGTACCATAAATAGATCCCTATTATAAGGACCCCAAAATAAGGTACCCCTTGTTTTCGGAAACTCCCAAGTACCCTTTGCAGCCACTGAGGCCGGATTCCTGCCTCTGATGCGAACTGGACCCATGCCTCTCCCGAGGCTCTACCGGTGGCGCCTTGCGCAGTGCATGGATCCCTTGGAAACCAGCTTTAGGGTTTAGGGTTTAGGGTTCCTTTCCTCTTCAGGCTTGTATCTCATCAGGAGTTTAAAAGCTTAGGAAAACAAACATGCGAGGAACTTTGAACAACCATCATCGCAGTGTAGTTTTCTACCGATTCGTCAGGGGAATGGCTTTCTGGGCAGTGTCATGAAGGCTCTGATACAAAGAGTGCGGCCCTCTGTTTTAACTGCCCTTTGCTTTGAAGTCTCCAGGTGTGAGGCAAACTTTCACTTCGAAAGATGTCTTGCCGGTGATGTGGGGGTACATGTCGTCCGCACAGCCGGGTGTGCCAAACGGATCTACTTCACCCATCACAGAGCCATTCTTAGCGAAAACGGCAGCCCATTGGCCCTGACTCAAAAAAAGCTCACAACTGATGACGTCTCCTTGGCCGAAGGACTCGCCATAGTTGCTGAACGCTCCACAGACACATACCTTTCCGGTCCCTCCGTAGCCAACATGGGGAAACCCCTCGCCGCGATCTTTGCCCAGGTCCAACGAGCCATGCGCAGTCGACCAGCCAAGACGGACGAGCCCCTGCACAACGGTCACTTCGAAGCGGGATCTTGAGTTGCATGTCGCCGGAAACGAATGAAATCGCACACCGTTCCACTCATACTTGCCTCGTTGCGATGGCCCGAGCACCCGCCACTCATGCCTGTCTGAGCCCTGAGTCCTCTCAGAAATCACACCACTGTCCTTCTCCAGGCCGTCTTGATCCTTGGCCACGGGCTGTCCAGCGTAATCAGCTTCGCTCGCCCAGGGCGGACGTTCATCCATGTCAAGTGCCAGATCCTTGCATGGCCTATCGAAGCTGCAGGGTGCCTGCGACAAGGTTTGGCGGATGTCAGCTGATCCGTCCAACATCTTGAGGTATCGAAGTGCTTGCTGCAGCTCAGTCCTCAACACATCTGGAGCCACTAGGAGATCCGACGGCCGCATCGCAGGAATGAGTAACACGTTCGGCCACCAAAATGCCTCCGACACAACTTCTTTCAAGCTCTGCACCAAAATTATGTGTTCCTGCTTCATCTCGTGGCCTAGAACATCAAGAGCGTACCGTCTAATGCCGGTCACATCAACCGCCGGTGCTTCTCTGCCGTCAGAAAACTGGCGATGTGACTTGACATCGCGGTTGTCAAAGACAGGATAAGAGGCTTCATCCCAGGTGCTGCCTCCAAAAGCTGCTTGTGCCAAGCAGTCCAGCAGCGGCTGATAAGTAGCCGGGCGCATGGTCGTCGTAAGCGCCAAGCGGGCTTGAGGCAACCTCGACACTTCCCGGAGGAACTCGGGGGCACCGGGCCTGAGGTAGAAGGGCTCCCGCCGCCCGTCATAGTCATCTTCCTGAAGGCCTTTTAGCCGTGCAGGAGACCGGTACAGTAGGACACAGGAGATCTCTACAAGAATCCAGAAATCCGGCGACTTTGCAGAAGAAGGGCATGATCTCAAGGCTTCGGCCACACTCTCGGCCTCTGCAACTGAAGGGCCGCCTTCGCCTTCGTCACCCTGCCGCGTAGTGGAACCTTCCAAAGAAGCAATGCCTTGTTGGAGGCTTTGAAGATCTGGGTCGGTGAAAGCGTCCTGTGGCTCAGGCCGGCGTTGGCAATAGCGGCAGGCTCTCTCTGCGAGGCATACGTCGCAAAGCATGTAAGATGCTTTGCCGGGAACTTGGCCCGGCCCCGTACAGCGCGGGCAGCAAAACCTCTTCTTTGCATCCTTGTTGCAGTAAAAACAAGCCTCCTGCTCATTGGCAGTCGACCCTGCCGACCACGACATGCGATGGGAAGGGTTGCCTACGGAGTACGAGCCGATCCACTGTCACTCCTGCAAACTCACTGCAGATCAAGCGGGGGAAAGGCTTTCCGGTTTAAGTGTACTGGGTTGAAGCACCTTTTTGCTGAATGTGCGCGTTGATGCCTCGAGGACGCTATCCGTCTCGCAACGAATCTTCAACAATCAAGCAGCCGGATGGGGAAGAGCTACAATCAAGAGCATGCCTGAAGGCATCTTTCACTTCGTAAGACCCAGGGTCGACTGCTATGCTCAATGTGCCCTGAGGTTTCGGTCCATTGCTTTAACTAACAAACTCCAAAGCTGCTTCAAGCAAAGAAGTATGAAGTCACGATCGGTTGCACGATCTTGCTTGACTAAACTCCGCCCGAACATCCCTAGCATCCGCGCCTTCCTGTCCCATGATCACCTGCGCGGTGCTCACCTTGCGTCAGGTCTTTCGGGTTCAGTATGTTCATGATACCAACGAGATGGATGAGATGGTAGGCTTGAGCTGGAGTATGGCTCAGGGCCCCCGAGCCCCGTAGTCTTGGAAGAACTCCGCAACGTCCGCTTGTGTAGCGCTGTACGGCAGCCTGCTGCGGTCAGTCTGCGGGTCTTGTAGGGGGGAATAGTCCAGAGGCCGCCGAAGATTGGAGGTAGAAGGCGCTTACCTTTCAGAGAGGATTGTGAGGAATAGCTTCTAGCTAGAACAAGAAGGAAAACTTGCGGGACTCGAAATCGGTTGGCATTCTTCTTCGAGGTACGCGAGGGCATTACGCAAAAAGTCACTTACATTCATAGGGAAAACCGTTTAGAAGCTTCAACCCTGCGTGAAGATCCAGCATTCCAGCAAATACAAAGGCCTGGCACACCGCATCTCCCACAAATCGCTGGCAGAATGTCTGACGTTTGAAAGGCAATCGTCGATGAACTTGCCTGAAGACTGCCTCCTTGACATCTCTAACGAAAGTTATGAAAAGACTTCACCCCGTCCCACCTACCTGACCTACCGACCTGCCGACACCCTCACACATCCCAGGACGGGCCCGCGCAGTCGAAGGTACGATGAGCCGGGGAAATCTGCAGAGGATCGCGGATAAAGGGCTCAGGATTGGTTGTTGCCTTGGGGGGCCTTCATTGTATAGGAGTTTGGCTGATGAAGGAGTTCCATCGTGACTCCGCACAAGCATTCGATGTGTGACTGCAAACAGGCTTGGCCCACCCTGCGGCTAGTGTCGTGGTTTTACTGACGTGTGTGGAGCGTTTCACGGGCCTTTGCCATCTAGGAAGCCAGCCAGTTGCTCTTGCCTTGCAGTTCCCCAAACTACCGCTGCTCTCGAGCTCCCTGGTTGAACCGAGATTCCAATCTCGCCACTCTTAGGTAAAGGCTCCCACATACGACTTTACGTGTCGACTGCAATTGTGGAAGGAATAGCTTAAGCCTTTCTTCATTGGCTTCCTTAACGCATCCATATTGAGGCATCTGAGCTTCAGCCCTAGACTGGAAATCGATGAACCTGGACCGGCCTGGAATTGTCATGTTTCCGCCACCACTCGTGGTATTCCGGGTGGCTGCATTTGCAGCCTCGAGTGATGTGGCTCGTGGGTGGAGAAGGTGAGAGGTCGACGGCTCTGGGACTCGAAATCCTAGCTGCAACAAATCCGCAAAACGAGGCGTACATGGTGCACATGCACCAACCACAGCAGCCAGAACAAGAAAGCGGCCGCGAGAGCTGCAGAGCAAAGCATCATCACCTTCATAAGCAGCAAAGGTGATCATAACAGCAACAGGAGCAATATCAAGGACACGACCAAAGGGCACAACACAGGCACACCAGAGACGCAAAACAACAGAAGCAACAAGGTCATAGCACTCAGCATTTTCATCATCGGCAACACCAATATAGAACCGCCATCAGGACGATCAAACCCACAACATAGTCCATACTATAGCCCTTTGAGCGAGAGCTCGGCTGCATCAGGAATACAACTTCCCATAGATAGCCAGCCTAATTAACAATTTGCGATTTCCCAAACAAGTTCCCTGTTATCATTATCATTATTGCAGTGTTAGGCGTATTAACATTATTGTTATTCTTGACCTAGATCCGGCCCCTGGTCAACCGAGGCGTGAACTTCGAAGGTGCTGCCTGGCCAAGTACGAAGCTAAACCGTGCAGTGGCTCGAACCTTCTGCCACCGTACTACGCTTTAGATTGTGTGATTTTACGTGACCGGATGCCGTTCATGCTCTAGTCGTTCTAGCCACGACCACGGGATACATGTCTATGAGCCATGCGAGGTTCTTGAGATTCGGCTGGCCGAGATGCCACGGAATAAGAATTCGGCTGACTTCTCTGGATCCACACTAAGTCGAGTCGTGTGCTGCTGCAGAACCCGTAGACAAGTCTCCAGGCTTCGCATTTTGACAAGACCCGGCACGTGGAGGTATAGGAAGAGATTCACGACGGAATCTGATCTGATCTTCTAGACCGACTGCTAGTCCGACCACACAAGCTGACAACAGAGAACCGCAACGTCTGAACGCTGGATGCAAATCGCAACGAAACGAGCACAGCGGCCGAAGATCTCGATGTAGCGGCCGCCAATCCGCTGGCGATCCTTTTGACGCCTCTGCTGCAAGTTGCTTGCCGGAGCCCCCGATCTCAGAATCACTTACATATCCATGTCAGGGGGCAGGATTTGAACGGAAGTGCAGCGCTCGCACAAAGAGCTAGGTCTCCAGCTTGGCTTCTTCAGCACTTGGGACGTCGAGGAACTGGACCCATGCCTCTGAACAGGTCTCTAGGGAAAGAATTTGAAGAAGCCTGCATCTGAAGTCACAGACTGGAAGACCCAAGCTGTCGGCGTTGAAAGTTACCATACCAGTCAACGCTCTGCAACAAGCGCCCAGGTAGATGAGGCTTTCCTTATGTTCTATCTATCACCCTGTCCCAAAGTCCCGACTGAATGCCAACCTCTACCAGTAAACTCGGGAGGCTGTTTGATGTTTGCACCCGGGGGCATATGTGGGGCCCTGCATCGCCTTGTCAAAGTGGCTCTGGTTCCTTCTTACAGAGTCCCAAAGTTAAGGATGGTCACCGGAACAGGAGATCGGCAGCTTGACTCGAAGCCGTAAACCATGACTGACGGATGACTTTCACGACTACAGCCATTGTGGTTGTTGTGCTTGGTGTGGCTGTGGTATTGCAAACGGCCTCAAGTCCCTAAGCGCCGTCACTAAGCCGCAGAAACCCAAAGTCCAACGTCCTACCGCGGATTGTTGCGGCCTCACCACTTGGCCGACCCTGGGTGTTCATGCCCAGGGCGATGTTCTCCTGTGGCGGTCTTCAAGTTCAAGCTTTCAATCTCAAGCCGTCTTACGGTTTCTTGCAAGTACGACTAGACAGGGCCTTGCGGCTTCGCGGAAGGCTTCCGTCAGGCGTACACTTTGTAAAATCTCGCAGGCGATGCGTTCAGCTGGCAAGACATGGAGCCCATGGCCTCCATTATACCAAACTCTGCGAGGAACTCGGAAACCTGGCACCAGTTCAAGCGCACGGATGCGAGAGTCAACGCAAAACCTGCAAACAACTCGTCCGCTAAGCTGGACAGAAAAAGACCTTCTTTACAACAGGAGACCTCTCACGACTAAGAGAAAACATTCTGCTTCGGAGCCTCCCGCGTACCGGCACTGAATGGTAGGCCTGGGAGAACCAACAGCCACTCCGCTTTGTAGCAATGGAAGAGGAGCAGGCGCAGGAGGAGCAGCAGAGCAGCAGAGCTGCTGGTGCGGGTATCTTTACCAGGACTTCCAGGCCGCGAGACTTCCGAATTTCCGGTCGCAAATTTCCTGCGTTCGATGCTAAATTGCTCCACATACGGCTGTCGCTGCTTGCTTCGCGGAGCTTCGAGATCCAAGGAAGGATTTTGACAAGTTTCCGAAAATAGGGACCCTAATATAGTACCCTAAATAGTAGGATCCTTATTATAAGGACCCCCAAATAAGGTACCCCTTCTTTTCGGAAACTCCCAAACCCACATCGCCCAGCCCCCCGTCTCTCACCGACCTAAGCTTCCCGGCCACGCAGGCGGAGGTAGCCGGCTCCTGGAAAGTCCTGCAAAAAGGGGGTCATAAAAAGGGGCCTTAATAATTAGAATAGGGTTCTGGGGGTTCCTTTTAAAGGGTTCCTCAAAGGGTGCTATAAGGGTTACTATAAGGGTATAATATAGGGGCCTTCATAATTAGAATAGGGTTTGGGGGTATTCCTGGTACTATAATAATAACAATAACAATAATAAAAAGAAGAATAATAATAATAAGGAGCCTCCAAAATAGTATAGGTAATTATTTTAAGCCCCTACATTGCTCTCAGAGCTGCGTAGCTTTGAGGAAGTTTCTCCCGATCGGATCCCCGATCCCCTTGAGCTCGGAAGGTCCAAGCTTTCGGAGTTCAAGGGTTCGACGTTTTGGAGTTTAGGGTTTAGGGTTTAGGGGTTTAGGGTTTAGGGGTTTGGGGTTTGGGGGGTTTAGGGATCGAGACTCTTCAACCGCGGCTGCAGCAAGGTAGAAGCTTGGCAGATGTTCGTGCGCGAGGCTTCGGGGGGCCACTTTCTGCCTTCCTTTCCGCTCATTATGAAGCTTAAGACGCTTCAGACACATCGATCTGCAGTGTCTCCTGAAACGCCATGGCCAGCACTTGACCGAAACAAGTTGAGAGCTGCCCGAAAACGATCCCGTTGCATCTGGTTGGCTGTGCCCCATAGATTTGCTCATTCAAATGCAGAGTGACCTATACAGCTCAGGTACTCACTTCGCAAACTTCCGTGTCGCGACTGCCCACAACATGAGACTGCGATGGCTGCGGCCGAACCATCTTGAGATGTTGGCTCCTCGTGTGCATGCATCATGTTGGGTGCTCAAGGCCATGCAGGATCACCGCGACACACGCCCCGTGGTGTCTTGGGTACATTCGACCCTTGGTGCCTCTCAGAGTCTCAGAGATGAGCGGAAAAGAAACGCCAAGAGCTGCAGTTTCCGAGGAACGAGTCGGAGTTGCGATAACGGGAATTCCACAGCCCAGTGCGATCTTTGGCAGCCCAGCTCCTTTTTTCAAGCTATCTCCATCTCATTGCCCAAACATCGGTTCGCAGGCCCTGCGTCGACGACTTAGTGGTGGTGTGGAGCAATGCGCAGAAAGCGAGGTTTCGATGCTTGGAGTGGGAGTTCAGTAGGAGGGGTGAGGACTGAGGCTTTCGAGAAGGCCTGAGGGGCATGACTAGAATTTCAGACACAATAGGGCTATTCGATAAGGTTGTTCCGCCTTTGACCTCTCCGATGTTATGAATTATGAATTATAAATTACCGGAGCCACGAGTAACGGACTTCTTTCTAGGGCTGCTATCCGGCAAGGAAGGAACAGCAACAGCACTGTATGTGGCAAGATGATGCAGCTGATTGGCCAGATCACGAATGCAATGCAGACACACCTGTCGTAGTGCAACCACCGTGATAGCCCCGAGCAGTCAATCAGCGTACCCCGAACGTCTTGAAGCCTGGGAAATAGATGCGGTGGTGGTCATGATGATGATGATGGTGAAGGTGAGGACGCTGCTGATGGCGACAGTGACTGCCAACAATTGTTACTTGGTGCTCCGTTCCTGCCACGATCCTGGTCTTCATACTCATATCCCTGTGATTGTGGTGTAAAACAACCCCACCTCGACCTTGTGCAGGACGGATCCTGTCAGGGCATCGAGCACGTAGACATCCTGGCGGGACTGTATTGTCAGTGCGGAACCCTCCTCTCCGAATCCCCTCAACACTAGACTCGCTGACGCCTTCTCGGTTGAGACGCTAAGCAGCCACTGGGGCGTGGTCACGCCGTAGCGCAAGATGCCCACCTTACACTAGCTTGACGCGACGACATGAAGCACATGCCCTAAGCTGTATGCATGACCGTCTCTGCGTTTCTGTGCACGTGTGTACAAGGAGGCGTTGTTCTGGGATATCGAACCGCTAGAATTTGATAGATTCCAAAGGAAATATGAAAACCTGATAGGGGCCACGAACCCGAATGCAGACACGCGGAACGCAGATATCGTCAACAAAAATAAGTAGAAGGAAAGGCATATTTGGAGTTCCCCTTTAGCTTGACGGATTCAGAAGTGGAG